CCTTCCTTATCTTCGCTTTCATAATTACCTTATACTTATCTACTTGTTTCCCGCGCTGCGCGCAAAATTGGTTTCCTTCTTCCGCGCCAGACATTTCTTCACTCCCATTCATCTCCTCTCGCTTTGCGAAGCTTAGATTCACCCTACACTTGAATACTGCAGTCATGTGTGGGTTGGAGCTTCGTCTACCTCACTCTCTTCCTGATGGGTTCAACGTAAGGTCATCCGTCTCATCAACGACCCGTCCTTAACATCCAACTTGCAGTCACTAGCTCACCGTCGGGCAGTCACTTCTTTGTCCTTGTTCTATCGATACTACTTTGGATTTTGCCCTGATGAACTTTCTGCATCTGTCCGTCTCCCACTTGTTCTTCCTCGTAGATCTCGTGCACAAGCGGCTAGCCACCCATTTCAAGTGACTATCCCCAACTGTCACATTTATAACTTTCAACCATCTTTCTTTCAAAGAACAGCACAATTGTGGAACACTCTGCCCCTTTCGGTCTTCCCTCCAGCGCACAACATTCATGTTTCTAAACGCAGAATCAACAAGCTTGTTCTAGCTAGAATGATCCCCATACCTTCCCACTTACAGTATATCTTCGGATCATGGGGTTTACTCCTTTTACTGTACTAACTTTCGTGTAATAAAAAACACTACCATACCCGGCGAAAATTGCTCGCCGTGGCAACCCATCTGGTGACATGTGTCGCACATGACCCCCCAAAGTAATGTATGGAGGTCGACCATTTACTGATGATGATACTGCCTGAAAGACGCATGAAAGAGTATGGTTAATGGCTGTAAAAATGAAGTGAACGGAAGTACAACGAAAAGGGACTTGCTGTTGTAAAGAACACGAGGGGGAAGTGTGTATAAACCATTTGCTTCACCCTTGAGAGACCGATGTAACTATCCGCATTGCATAGTTGCATTCTTGGTTCGTAGCGGAATCAGTACTGTTGTTCAAAAGATGGCTTGCACTGAGTACGTTGGACATTTACAAGTAGTGTACACGAACGAAATGTCGGTTTTTTATCGGATAAACTGTGTAAGCACAATTTGGAGAAAGTCGTCACCGCCTATGAAACTGTAGCGGAAAAGCTGCAGAAGCTGAAAGCCGATATGATCCACAGACGTACGCAGAGAACACCTTGGTACTCGGTCGTGAACTTTCCGCTTTTTACAACCCCAACCGCAATTGATTGAAAAACAACGGTAATATGTGTACCTTCAGTTAAATTGACTATCCTTGCAAATGCGGTTGCAATCAAAATGAGCATTAACATACCAAAACACAATCAAATTAGGGCAATGACTTACTTCCAAGCTTTCCTGCACATTTATTTCTAACTTCGGATATCTTCGTTTTACGTAATTGACCAAGTCGGTGTACTTCTTGACAAATTCGTCCCAATCCCCGACAAGGTCACACATCCTTAGGCCGTTGCGTGTAACCTTCGAGGAGTAGGCTGGACCGATCCCTTTCTTTGTCGTACCTATAAGACCATTCCCACGAATCTCCTCCTGATGCAGATTAGCATTAAAAGCAGAAGCTGGAAAACACTATACCTCAAGACCATCCATCAGTTGATGAAACTCGAACACTAAGTGACACCTGTTTGAAATTTTCAATCTGTTTTCCAAATCTTTAAGACCATTTTTGTTGGCTTCATCGATTTCCTAGCATCTTCGATTGGATTGGCTGATGAACAAACCTCAAAAAGTGCGGGTAAATTTACGACAGTTCCATTCCCGATGACAGCCACAGCGCGGGGATTTATAACTCCGCTGGGAAGAATATGGAAGAAATATTTTTTTCCATCTGTCATTACTGTGTGTCCTACAGAATTCAGGAAGTGAAATGACACTTACCAGCATTGTTTCCCCCCTGACAGCGACAAACAACATCCGCATTAGAACTAAGCAAATCCACGAGCTTCCCCTTACCCTCATCTCCCCATTGTGCACCTATAACCACCGTCACACCCGGATTACCTAGACCACTTTTGCGTTACGCAAATAACTCACTTACCACTTGAACCATTGACGCCGTTCAATAGCATGGTAAACGGATGAAAAATTCAAATGACGCAGTTCTATGAGTACAATAACCGTTTTGGAGCACTTGGCACAGAAAAACAAACGTCTTGAAGTTGCTTTCCGGTTTGCGGTTGGTAACCAATTGTCAGAAAATCTTAATCGTTTCGTGTTTACTTTTCATAGGAGATTTAACTTCAGGATCCGAAATGGGAGTGAAAAATATCGTTCAATATAGTTTAGTTCTATCCAAGTCCAGGCTTCGCAGGACAGGACAGGACAGGACAGGA